TAAATGTCCAACCGCTGTGCTGTACACCTGAAACTAATACGAAATAATATTGAATGTCAACTGTAATTAAAATATTTTTTAAAAAGACCAAAAAAATAAAGGTTTCCATCCCTAATGGATCATTTCTGATACCTTCCAGTCATGCGCACGATTCTCTAAGGTCGAATGAGCCGTGGTTTATCCGGTGAGGGTGCTGTGATCCACTGCCAGACAAATTGGGGGGAGGGACCCCCTAAACCTTGACTCCACTGACACTCAACAAATGAAAGAAGGATTTTTTAAAAATACGTTTTTATTCATTTTAGAGAGAGAGAGAGAGAAACACCAATGATGAGAGAGTTGTGGGTCGGCTGCCTCTTGCTCGCCCCCTGCTGGGGATCGAGGTCACAGCCCAGGCATGTGCCCCGACCAGAAATGGAACCTTGACCTCCTGGTTCACAGGCTGACCCTCAACCACTGAGCCACGCCGGCCAGGGCTGCTATAAGCTTTTTATTTTTTATTTTTATTTTTGTTTTTTAAAAAAATATATCTGTATTGATTTCAGAGAGAGGAAAGGAGAGGGAGAGAGAGATAGAAACATCAGTGATGAGAGAGTCATTGACCGGCTGCCTAGCCCACAACCCAGGCATGTGCCCTGACCGAGAATTGAACCCCAATCGCCTGGATCTTAGGTCAATGCTCAACCGCTGAGCCACCCCCAGCCGGGCGGCTATAAGCTTTTTAAATAGGCGGCGGGCGTTACCCTGGAAGGCATGCAGCATTCCCTCCTCGGGGGAGTCAGGACAGCTATCGACACGTTTAATTACGGGTGACGCCTCGATGTCACGAGCACCGCGGCTTGTCCTTGAGCTGCATCGTCTCGTTTGGTTTTCCCACGGAAGCTGAGGTTCCGGGTGACGGTGTTCGTGGCCTAAACGAGTGCACGGCTGAGTCACCTGAGAGGGATTCGAATCCGGGCTACCCTCGGTGTTTCTTTAGTGTCATCTCATAAATACCCACGTGTCCTGGTGCCCGTTTGGCCCAGCTGTCCTGGGAAAGGTAGAGCTCCGCGTATATCTCCGTAGGAAATGGGACGGTCACCTGCAACGTTAGAGAAACAGTGCTTTGGGGCCTCCCACCCCGAGGCGGGCCAACCTTGTCGATCGTTAGTGGATAACGTTTGGGGAATTGTTTGTTCATTCCAGAAAGACTTTTGGCCGGGACAGTGTAGCTCAGCGGTTGAGCATCGACCCATGAACCTGGAGGTTGCGGTTCAATTCCCGGTCGGGGAACATGCCCGTGTTGTGGGCTCGATCGCCAGCAGGGGGCGAGCAGGAGGCAGCCGATCCATGACTCTTTCATCATGAATGTTTCTCTCTCTCCCTTCCTCTCTCTGAAATCAATAAAAACATATTTTATTTTTTTAAAATATATCTTTATTGATTTCAGAGAGAGGAAAGGAGAG